CGGTCTAGAGCGTTGTTGGGTCCCGGGCGCTCTTGTGCAGCATAGTTCTCCCAGGCCTGGACGGCACGCTTCACGCCTTCGTCGTTGAAGTTAGGATTGTACTCCTCCTTGAAGCGCTTCAACATGCCCTCGAGCTCCTCAACCCGTGATTGTGCCGCGTTCCTCTCGTCTCGTACGCGGTTGACGTTGTCGGTCAGCTCTTGGATTCTATCCTTGGCGAGGCTGGCCAGCACTGTGATCTTGCCGCCCTTGCCTGCGCCCTTGACGACCTTGCCTCGCTCAGCCCTCTCGATCTCGGCGAGGCTCTTGGTCAGCCCGTCGACTTTGAGAGTTGCACCTTCTATCTGCGTCTTGAGCGTCTGAATGCGGTCCTCGACCTCCTTCCGCATGCGACCAGCCTCGGCGATGAGCTCCTTTCTCCTTTGCTTTGCAGCGGTTAGGCTCTTTTGTCTCGCCTCGTCCGCCTTCCGCCATTCTTTCCCAATCGACGCGCACTTGTCTTCACACTTGATGCCCCCCACACGCTCGTATTCGTCGCTGCCGTCACAGCATAGTTCGTAGTCGCATGCGCCATCGTTTACGTTGGTGAAGGGGATATAGCTCGGCTGGTGGCCCTTGTTCTTGCAGTAGAAGCCAGGAAGGGCAGGCGTAGCGTTGACGTCTTTGCTCTTGAAGCCTAGAGGCTGGGGTGGGGAGAGGGGCGAGAGGTAGGCGCACGCTGAGGTGCCTGGCTCATCAGAGCCATCGGGGCAGTCGCAGTAGTCGTCGTTCAGGCGTGCGATTGGGAGTTTGATGGCGGGATTCGAGATACAAGTGAATGTCTCGGCATCCTTGTAGTACTTTGCAACTGCACATGTGCTGTCAGCTATGCTCAGGCGTCTACGCGGAAGCTCTCCTTGAGCTGTGACATGTGCAACATACATTCCGGAGCGACACCCCGCGGCCGGGCGGGGTCTGACGCCGCATCTGCGGTACTGGCTAAGATGGGGAGAATGAAGGCTAGCGAAGACACGTGCTTCCTTCCCATTTTGAATGTGGAGAGAGCAATTGGAGCTCGAGGCCTCAAGATGCTCGAAATGCCACATCGACATAGTTTCAGGGTCCACTGGCCCGTGCGCCGCCATCCGAGCTGCCCCAGCCCTCACCTCCACCCAACACTCCACAACTCCAGCGTACGCCCAATCTACAAGGCCGTAACTCGCGACTCCGTGTTTACTCGCTATCGTCTTGGTGTACACATCTGTCCGCAATGACGACTGGCACTCGCACATGTATGTGTGTCGGCATCGCGTCCAGTCGGCTATGACTTCATTCCGCATAGCCTGTGTGAGTCGAATGGAATGCGAACACTAACCTTGTCCATGGCATGACTGCCTCGCGTTTACTTTACCGTCTTTTCGAATTATGCGTCACCCAATGTCCTCAGCGCCCAAAAGTGCGTTTGGCGCTCAGCCCGGACATACCAGCATTCCTCGGCATCAAACGAACAGTAGCCTCCTATCCAGGCCGCGTTACCAAATATGCCCCCACTAGCATCATTCAATCGCCAACATGGTGGATCTATTCCTCAAAATCGGCCATCCATCGGGCCAACGGCGCGGCTTTTGGGTGGCCGTCTATGTTCCGGTCTCTAACAAACGCTGTACATACATTCGATTTGCTCCGTCTTTGAATCTTGGACATCCACATTCAGCTCTAGTATGACTGAATTCGCACGCTAGAATGATGTCTTTTGTTTGCACATGCGCCCAACTCGCGTCAGGATTTATGCGGCGAGGTCATCAGAGTATCATTCTCTTCCTTCTCGAATCCCATCATTCTATCTGTGAACATCGATATCCATCATTTGCTCATAACTTCATTTACCTACTCTAACATCATGGTATACGCTGACGAGGACGAAATCGACTGGAGCGACGGCTCTTTCGGCGCTCCACCTCGAATACTCATCGATGCTACACCCCAATCAACTCATCACAACCCAACCGCGGACGCTTACGAGGAAGAAGATTCGGTTTTTGTATCGGAAACATATTACCAACACCGGATACCCAGTGGTCTTACACTTCAAGCTGGTAAGAAGCTTGCTCTGCATAGAGGCTGTTCGCTTACATTTCCCAGCTCCTTCAAACAGCAATGACAACCTTCAGAACCCTACGCGTGTTCAAAGAGCTCGTGCCGGTGTTCATCTGAACCGTCGTATACCTTCCAAGGCCGACTACATCAACTACGTGCTTTACCAAGCTAGCCAGAAGACTTACGAAGCCACCTTTCTGAACAACTTCATAGCGCATGCCTTGCATCCCGACCGCCTCGCCCAGTGTTCTGAAGATGCAAACAGCAGCCGCCAAAGCATCGCCGATTACATGAAGTCTGTATCACATGAGGTTAACAGTATCACGAAGAAAATGATCTGGAATGGCCATTGCCGCACTGTGCACCTTCTCGCTGGAGACGGCATGGACGGCGCACCGTTCCTCGATCCACATGCTCTCGACACCAAACCCTTCTCAAAGTACGGTCCTGGCAATCTCTTTCCTGTAGCAGACAGGATCAACGTGTCTTGGCACCGTACCAGCTCACATCCTACGATGGTACGATACTCAACCAAGGAGTACGAACTTGGCTATCAGGCCGGTCCATTGGAGGAAATTGACGCTGTATCCCAGACACTGTTTCGAAAAGAGAACTTCAGTATGACTTTGCCCATCGGTCGTGCTGTCAAGCTCTCAACATCCAAGAAGCGTAAAGGTCAGAACATGTGTGGAGCAGCAACCAGAGATGACAGACTGGCGTCATCTCGTCGGAACTGGATTCCATTCCCGCAGCTGGCCATAATGTCGGACTTCCACGGCCCTCAATCCGTTACAAGCACTCCGCTTGATATAGGTCACGAAGCAAAGGCGGCTGATGTTCACCAAGAGCCTCAGATACTGTCAGATCTCACGCAACTGTATCACGACCCTGTAAATGCCCTGTCTTTAGATGATGCACAGGAAGAGGGATCCCATCAACCCTTTCCTCGTTACGAAGTTCTATTCGGTTCCCATGATGCTGGAGTACCCATCAGTGACCGTGCCGGTGCATGCAAGCAAAGCAACGGCACCGAGCACGTAGAGAAGGTACACCACTGGCGAACCAGGTTGATCAATGATCACAAGCGCCGGCTGACACTTAAGTGGGGAAACCCACCACAGGCTCTCGACCATGCATTCCAGAACTTCAAGCAAGTTGTTGCAGCAGCCATGTCTATGGGTATTCGTCCCACCGCCAACGACGACTACCAGAAGAAGCTCGAAGCCATCGCAGCTAGAGAGCGACTTCGAGAGCAAGCCAGAAGTTCCGCTCGATCACAGCAGAACAGTGAAAGCCTGTCCACTGAAACTACCACCCCTGATTCGCGTGCATCGCAATGTCTCCCAATAGACTCAGACATGAATACTCCCGAGTCCTCTTCCTGCTCTCCTTTACAGATCCTTCGACGAAATATTGGTGGGTCGTTGAGCAGTTCTGAATCTGACAAGACATCCTCAGAGCCCCCAAAGAAGAGGAGGAGGAAGAACGAAACCGCAAACAAGCAAGTCATGCGAAGTCACTCTACCCAGCAGCAATCGACTGCACCCAAGCCAGGCAAGCAATCGACCAATCAGTCAATCATGAAGAGTCCGTTGGCAAACAAGCCACTATCGCTCCATCCGAGTGGATCTACGACTTTGGAACTGCATCAACACCTTCCTCCAAACGCTTACTTTGAGCCGATCTCAGTGGATGAGAAGTACGCGTGGCGATGTCGTTGCAAACATGCAATGGGCCACTACTACAACTCCGGGAATCGCAAGAACTGTCGAGGCTGTAACACCTCGCTCGGTGACAACCATGCTGTTGAGATGGACTTTTACATGCCACTGAGGTCTTTTTACCATCAACCCGCACCAGACATGCGTTGGAAGCCTAGCAAGCAGACTGCTCGACTTCGCAAGTCAGACCGACCCTGTCACAATGCTGTGGCGAAGGACGCATATTGGCAGGCCGTGGGTACTGGTGCGACTGAAGAAGTGGCTCGGCAGATTGCTGTCGATGCAGTAGTTCATTACCTTCGGCCAAAGGTACGGTCGAAAGGGCCAACACCCGAGCCGACGCCAGAATCGGAGCCAGAACCCGATCTTGGTCCCCATCCTAGTGGCTCGACTACTATGGAACACGGTCAGGAGATTCCCGATGGCTATTACTGGAAGAAGCAGAAAGCAGGTGAGAAACTTGCCTGGCGATGCGATGTCAACCATGGTCTCGGACGATACTACCTAGCGGGCGATAAGAAGACCTGTCCAGGATGTGGAGCCGGCCGGACTAGTCTGGGCAAAAGTGAAGATATGGACTTCTATCTCCCGTCAGGTGTCGTCGTTCGCCAGGAAGCACCAGGCCTCTCTATATGGAAACCTAGGAAGCCATACAAAATAGGCAAACCCGCTACTACGAAGAGAGAAGCGGTCAGTCACAACCAGATGTGTGCCAAGGTGTACTTCGAACTTCTCGCTCAAGAACACGAAGCAGAAGAGGCTTTGGCGCTTGCGATTGAGAGAGTGGACAGTGAGCTGGACAAGAAGCAAGAAGCTAAGATGAAACGACAGGAAGCGAAAGAGGAAATTGGAGACTCAGATGCGGTTGAGGGCGACAGCACTTCTGCTAGTGTCTCGAGGAGGGACTCTGCCGCCACGAGTCGCAACTCTCGAGGAGGCTGCACCATGTCCTTCGTCCCAAAGAAGCGTACCATAGATGACGTCATGGAAGAGAGTTTGGATGAGGTTGTGGGTGGTCTTGGAGATAGGGATATGGGAAGTGAAAAGGATTCTTGTGATAGTGTCGTAGTGTCATCTTCTTCTGATGAAGATAGCTCTGCCTCAGACTCGGAATGAGGCTGCAGTCGAATCATGTAGTTGTAGTGAATGAATTGTACATTATGCATGCTCGATTTAGTGACAGCGCATACCATCTATGGAACTCTACAAGGGGTTCGCTCCCTTTGGAAGCTTGACCTTGAACACCAAAACCTGGTTGTCAAGGTTGTAACCAGACGCATCCACGTACTTGTTCTGACCAAAGTTGATGTATCCTACGCCACATTAGTCTGAGCACTAAAACTCGAAGGCAGGTATCTTACCGTTCTGAGTGATGAAGTCGTTGTCGGAGAAAGACACTAGATAGTACTGCTTTCCTTCATCCTCATCTTGCCTCTCGCTCCTACCAATCTTGTCGTCCTTGTCAACGGGCAACATAGCGAAGCTCTCCCACTTCTCATTCAGCAGATTCGCGTCCTGTTCGCCGCCATTGTGGAGACCAAATCTGCCGAGCTGGTCGTTGTTGTTGAAAGACAGCCACGGACAGTAAGTAGCAGGCACGATGCTGCTCTTCAAGACACCATCTTTGCTTGCAATTTGTCCTTTAATGTCATCGGCCGCTGTGCCTGCGACGTTAGTGGCTTTAGAGATGTCGATCACATCCGCGTTGCGGTAGATGGACAACGTGCTTTCAGCTCCATGACCAGCGTTGGAGTCGCGCGCTAGGACGAGGAACTGAGTTTCGGAGATGTAGTGCATCTCAGACTGACTGGCGACGCGCCCTGTTGGTAGCACAGGAAGCTGAACAGCATATTCCGCCTCTAGCGTGGTCTGGTCGTCTTTGACACGGTACTTAAGGAGGCGAGTGTTGCGACGCTTCTTTGCGGAGCTGCCCCCGTCCTGGATAGTAGCACTTTGGAGCATGGTGTAGAGGTACTTGCCATCTGGACTGGCAGTCAGAGCTTCCAGGCCCTGGTTGTTGCCTCTGCCACTGTCGGGATCCTCGGGCGTGATCTCTACATCCGGGTCGTAAATGGGTGGAGAAGCCGCGTTGAAGCTTTCAGTTCCGTTACGGCGGGGAACAAGAGCCTCGGGGGTGCGAACAGCCTTGATCATTTTGCCCTTCTTATCGAACTGGTAGACGTACGCGGCGTATTCGTCACTGATCCAGAAAGTCTTGTCGTCTCCGAGGACAAGGCCTTCGGTGTCTAGCGGAACGCGAGCACCACCTGTTCCATTTTGGCCGAAGCCGTTGCCAGTGTCTGCAACTATCAGTACTGCTAATTGATATAAGGTTGTGGAACTTACATCTAGCTAAAGGAATAGTGGGAAACCCAGGGTACGTAATGGTCTCCGTCGGATCCAGACCAGTCAAGGGCGTACCATCAGGTCCAGTGAGAAGTAGAGTGTCGATGTAAGAGAACTGGAAGTTCGGGCTGGCCGGTTTCTCAAGGGTTGCTTCAACCGGTGTGAAGACAACGCTGAACTTGTGGATGCGGGTCTGAGTGTTCTGGGTACCCTGTGTATTCCAGCCGCGGTCAGGCAGACCCCAAACGACACCCTGGTAGGAGCCTTTCTTGTACTTCCACGACTTCTTTTCGAATGCAATGGCGCTTCCAATACCACCAATCGTGTCGCCGAACTTGTCACGAGCATCGCTGACAATTTTTCCATAACCTGCTAGCTCTTCGTAGGTGTAAAGTTTGCCATTGCAGGTGGTGACATTTGCTGCAGCAGCATTATCATCTCGAGTGATGACCGGACCAGCAAAAGCCTGGTTGACGGAGAGCGCCAGAACGCCGAGCGAAGCGACAAACAACATTGCGAAGGGTGGTAGACTGTCGCGTGCCTGAGCAGATGGTTTCTGAAGAATGTCAACAGCCTATATACATGCCCGTCAGGACCGGGATGATCCCGCGATGACGCGACCCGACAGCCAGGCACACGAGGCTATCTTGATGCATATTCATACCAGCAGACACACGTGCGCTGTCTGTTTGGCTGCAGCCGACGAGGGTACAAATGCAATAGCGGCATGGCGTTCGTGGGAGCCGTGTAAACAGGCAAATGGCGTCGAAGAAGCGGCATGTAGGAACAGATGCTCTGCCATGGATGTCACTAAGTCATACCAGCGTGCGCAGTGAACAGCAAGCACCTTGCAGATTCCCCAATGATGACGCGAGGTTCGTGGGGATGAATGCGCACGTTTCTCGAGAACATGATGTGAGTCGCTGACCGGAAATGGTGCCGAGGCAGGCGTTATCCCCGATCGGGCATGCGACATTGGCGGGCGGGTACTTAGTTCAACATAGTTCAGCTTTTAGAGAGTACACTCAAGCCGTCTTTTGACATCAGAATCAGTAATGGAGTGAGCTGCCCAGTTCGACCGGTACCGGGAGTGGTATCCAGTCTACTGTCCTTGAGGGGGTGGACACGCGAAAAGTCGCCTTTGCCTTCATGGATACCTAATCATTGCAAGCTGCAGAAGAGCATGAGCCGTATCGCGTCAACGGTGGCTTGATTCCACATATCTTTCTAGAAACCGGAGTTTGATTCGCATTCTTTTATCTCGACTTCAGCATGCCCTGCCTGTTCAAGGCAGTGCGATTGAGCTACGCTCATGCGAGTGCAACTTCCCGAGGCCAAAACATGATGGCTCTGTGGAGGGTAAGAGCTCCCGTCCCAAGTTGCAACTTTCCTTCCGCATGTCCAGATCTTTCCATTGCACAGTTGCCCTGGCTGTTACTGCACACACGTTTCTCGCGACTGGAACGTCACCTAAATCCTCTTATCACTGACTTTCGAACTTCCTACGTCACGATCTATATATCACGATACTTGCCATCGCCTTTCACACTCCGATCCACACGCTGACGAATGTTTACTGTCCGGTTGACGTACTCATCGTAATCTGCAGCTACCATGCTTGGGACTTCCGGCGATGGCTTAATCACCAAGCTCACCTCGTACCTCACAACCGATAAAGAGGCAGCCCCGGACACTCCTCCTTATACACCTGATCAAGAGTGCGAACCTCACTCTGCCTTCACAACGACAACGTCGCATGATGCCGAGATAACGAGCAACGATCGGACTGAAATGCCAACGAGCCAACCCTTGAAGCCGAGTTCTAGACGCTCGCTGAAACGATCCGCGAGTGAGCTGGTTATACCGAGCCAAGAACGGAATGAGCGCTTGACTGCGATTGCCGCGTTGGAGGCGGTGCGTTCGAAGGAGGATGGGCGCCATACAACCCGTCCGACCCCAACTCCGACACGTAGCCAGCTACGGCCTCCACGCCCTGGCTCTCAGCGCTCCATCAGCAACTCCAGATACGAACTAAAATCTCAGTACCACGATCCAAATATTTCATCTGCTAGCCTCCAGAAGCAACTCGTTGAACAGACAAAGCCCATGGCCAAGCGATCTCGAACACCCGAGCCGAATAAGAACCAGATCAAAAAGGTTGCAAGGCCAAGTCCCATCAGGTCCACTGCTGTGCGTTCAAAGTCAGAGCCAGACCCAGCAAGAGCGTTTGCAAATCCAAAGACGCGCCCTGGGAATGCGAAGCTGAAGCCATGTATAAAGAAGAAGGCGAAGAGTACCACAACCACACCACCGACCGGATTGCAACAGGAAAGCATCAACGCCGAGCTCAAGACCTTGCGTCGCGTGAAGACTGTCGATTTCGAAGAAAGTGGTTCGAAGCAATTGATCTCATTACCCCCGGCACCCATCACGGAAGAGGTCTCGACTCAGACTCTAGCAAGTGATACCGGAGAGAGCTCCAGGTCGGCTAGCAATCATACAGAACTCGTCAAGTCATGCCCATCATGCCCGAACACGATGAACATAGCGAAGAGCGCTGCAGCGGAGCCAGCTACTACACGAACAGACGTACATGTTATCGCCATAGCTCCCTCATGGGACGCGCAAGGACTCACCCATGACGACAGCGCTGACCCAGCAACACCTACAATGCAAATCATCGAGACAAAGAGTGGCAGCTATGAGGTAATCTGGGACGATGTGCCCGAAGAGCACACCATCAGGACGCGGGGACGACGGAGCTCGTCAGCAAGTCATGCCTTAGAAACTGCCAGCCCAAGCGCCAAACGTGGTGGCCTTGACCGAGTCAACTCGAAGCTCGCGGGATGGTCGGGAACCTGGAATAGCCCGTCAGACAGCTTCAAGCCCACTATTGTGGTGTTTCCTGATGACGATGGCCGGGCTACTCGCTATGACTGTGCGGTGGACGATGACGAAGACCTGGCAGCAACAGTGCCTCCAAACAGCCGTATCACAAGCGGAGCGCATTCTAGCGTCTCATCACGCCCCGTAAGCGCGCCCTTGACCAGGAGCGTATCGTGTGAGGAAATATCGCTTCGAAACGCCCTTCAAGTGACGCCACCACACGCTCCAGAAATGGGATCATCACCACCCTCCGAGCACTCTCTTGTTGTACCCAATGTTGAGGTCCCGCATAGCAGAGGCAGGAATGCGAAGCTATCACCAATGATCCGAAAGCTCTCGAACCTCGAAGAAGCAGACACCAAGTTCCGCGACCATCGCGACTCTGTTACGATCGCGCACTCTCGTATTGTACACTCGGGTGGCGTGTCGCCTGAACTGTTTGCTCATAGGGACTCTGTTTCGCTGGGAAAGAAGCGCATGCACGCGCGTAACCATGCTGCGTCAGCGACACGGTCGCCATCGCGCAGGAAGGAGTTGTCTGTTGAGGCACTGGGTCTTTTTACTGATGAGGATATCTCGACAGTGACGTTGCCTACTGTCAAGGAGCATGCTGCACAGGCGCTCAGGAACAGCAGCGAACCTTCCATCCTTCATCCACCACAGCAGACTCCTGATAAACGCCACATAAGGATTGTGGAGTGAGGAAGCGAAGGCGAGTGGATGATGCTGGCTGATACTGGCCGAGGAGACGGATGGGCCGGAGGTAATGCGGCGATGGTATCTTCTAATTTCGCTCGAAGAGCATCGATAACCTGTAGAGTATGAGTCGGATCGGAGCGCGTTGATCTCAATCTCATGGTCAGAGGGTGGTCGGTGATGATGCCGAATGCATTGGCAGGTGGTGTGGGCTAGGGAGTCCTTGGCGTGATTATCGATAGACTCCGATTAGCGTCATCGCGTCCCACAAGCATCGTCGTCGGCGCCCAACCTCTAACTCTACCATGAATATGAACGAAATTGTTGCGTTGTCTTCTTCCTTCGATCTGAAGTTCGATCTGATTTCGCGTCATCGTAATGTCTGCGTTGATATCTATCGCCGCGCGTCTGCCACTCATGCCTGTCTCTCACGTCAGGAAAGGCAATGCAACGCGCCGTACTTATACGCGCATGCTATTACAATGCGTTCCGAAAGCTGATACTTCTAATAATGTATTCGGTCTATGCTAATGATTCAGGGCTCGGCGTGCCGATCGACGTCTTCCAAGCCGGATCACGTATCATCTAACGATTGGCGTCGCAGTATACGTTTGAGCACCAAAGCAGATTGACACGATGCCGCGTCAACGCCATTGTATCTATGCGCGTACCCATTCATCCTTACCAAACCACAGCTACAGTAATGCCGGCATTCGCACCACACAAATCGACTCACGACGTTTCCATCATGGCCTTCGCGACCAACGACCCATTAAAGCCCGACCAACGATACGACGCCTTACGCAACACCGACGATCACTCGGATTCGAGTACAGAGGTTGACGATTGGGATACAGAAGATGCAGTACGACCTAGACGAAGACGCAAGACGGCGTGGAAGAGGCTGAAGGGCTATCGCTGGATAATAGACACGGCACTTCTCCTCGTCATTGTTGGATTGCTGGTGGAAAAGAGAGGGCAAAAACACACAAAAAGTCATCAATACGAGCTCGTGGGAGACATTACAGGATTTGCGCCAACGTTCTCGCAAGAGATTGTGAGCTTCAAGCCCAGTTCTGTGTTCGCCCCAGAAGATGCGGCGGAGTTCTGGAGCAACGAGACACAGCATGCATGGTTAAGCATCGTACCAGGTATGTACATCGTTCTGGTTTCTTGAGGTTTAACAGTGCTGACGATCTCCATAGAGGGCTTGGGCTACGTCAACGTGAAGAACCCCTCCGAATATTCGAACCTCCCACACCCGATACACGACTATCCCAACCACACCGTCTTCACCACGTCCGTGACGCATCAGCTGCACTGCCTCTACACTATACTGGGCGCGTACAACTCCATGAAGCTCATGGTCGCGTCACCTGTGTCTGCAAATCCCGTCAAGATGCCATGGCATATCAACCACTGCTTCGAATACATTAGACAGGCGATAATGTGCGCTGGAGATGTGGCGCTAGAAGGGGCTGCGACAAGCTTCCCTGGTGACGAGCATGGAGAAGATCGAGGTGGGAGTGACGGTTGGGATGCGAAGCACGTGTGCAAAGACTACACACAGGTATATGAGTACCTAGAGAAGGAAACGATCAATCACATGAAGTGGATCTCATCGGATTAGTGATCCACGCTGTACCCTCGGAGGCAGCATGTGAAGTGGAGTCTGCCTCGTGCAGCGGGCCGTTTGGACAGACCCAAACGTGGGCTTTGCGCTTGCGCACGCGGGTGACGTGTATCGACTTCACCATCAGCAACTCAAGACATTGGCATGTAGCAACATTGTATACATCGTATTCCAAGTGCAAAGCGTCGAATTAAAGTTATGAGCTGACTGTGCACACTATCGTAGCCTGTGTCACATTGTGACAATTTCCCTATGGACCTATGATTTCCTTCTAGCTAGCTGACTCTGATGATTCCCGCAACAAGCAACATTCCCTTCTCGCCTGCAACACATGACTACCCATCCCACCTCATTACAGTAACTTCCGAGTCCTCCGAGCATGCATACAACACCATCGGGCAGTAACCCGTTTAGGTCCAACATGCGAATTCGCAGATCTTCTGTATCAGATTTGGCGAATCACGACCCCCGCGAATCAGCCTCGGTAACGGGGCAGAGCAGGGATGGTGCAGCAGCGGCATCACCGAAAACCTACGCACGCTATGCTCTAGCCTCCGCGAGCGCATTCCATTCCGAATGGGCGTTTACCTCAGCAGTCGGGCGCCGCTTTGCACCGTGTCCGGAGCTGAATGCTCAAATTGTAAGTGTGCCGTGGGCGTGTTAGACGATGGCCTTGTGGAACCCCTAGAATTTCGGACGAGTGTTGGTGGTATAAGAGAGTGGCTGGCCCCGTGACTAGTGATATATTTTTGCTGTGTTGACATTTTACGACAAACCTTGGGATTACTCAGCCAAGCCCGTGGCTATACTGAACGACCATCCGCCTCTTGGTGGTAATACCGGGATTCTTGGACAGCACTGCGGAGAGCGGAACAACGACGGAGACCGAACAGTTATCGGACCTCGGCCGAGCAGTCGCACGACAAATCTTTCTGCGAGTAAGAAAAGAGACATTGATTGCATACGGACGTAAGACAAGGGGAAGAGGACTTGGGTGTCTGTTACCTGGGCTTGGCTCAACAACAGACGCTTCATACTGTGGATTCAAGGCGGACCTGACAGCGGCTGTGTCTATTACCCTGCAATCACTCTTTCCACATCAACAACTGGGTTCGTTGCGAGGCACCGGTTAAACACCTCGTGGAATAAACGCGACTGCCTCGACAAAGGCATACAAATAGGTCCCACGAAGACGCGGCTACCCACTATCGACATTCCTCGACGTCATCACTAAAACCTTTTCCGAAAACCACTACCTTTCTCCAACAACACAATTCCTACAGACACCATGGCGCAGTCGCCACTACTTTTCATCGTTGCGGGAGCCGTCATCTCCTATATCCTATACACTCGTATTGCGCTCTACCTCGCGCGCCAGCGCTTCAAGAAAGAGAATGGCTGCCAACCCTGCACGGCGCAGTTCCACAAAGACCCTATTTTCGGAATTGACAATGTGAAGGTCATGGCATACAACAGCAAGCACCACATCCTGCTGGAAGAGAACAGAAAGCGCTTTGGACGGCTCGGTAACACTTTCCATAACAGGCTGGTTACCATGCCTTTCATTGCGACTTGTGAGCCGGAGAACGTCAAGACGATCTTGAGTTTGAAGTTCAAGGATTACGGTTTTGGTCATAGGCAGGGTGCTTTTACTCCTCTTTTGGGCCACGGTATCTTCAACGCGGATGGTGAGCGGTGGGCTAATAGCCGTCACTTGCTGCGACCCAACTTCGCTCGCGACCAAGTTGCAGATATCGAGGCGTTTGAGAGGCACTTCAAGCTTATGCTCAAGCACATCCCCAAAGATGGCGCTACTGTCGATCTACAAGAGCTCTTTTTCCGTTTGACCATCGACACCGCAACAGAGTTCCTCTTCAACCACTCCACCAACTCGCTCCGCATGATCGGCCAGGAGGACGAAAACAACGAGGACGTCATTTTCAGCAAGGCATTCACCGCCGCACAAGACGACATCACGACCCGCACCCGCTGGGGCATCTTCGACCGATTCCGCAAGAACCCAGAGGGCAAGAAGGCCATCAACATCTGCCACGCCTACGTCGACAAGTTCGTCGACGATGCGCTCCGTTTTAGGGAAGAATTGGATGCTGAGAAGAGTGCTGGAGGCAAGGACGACAAGTACTACTTTATCCAAGAAGTGGCCAAGCAGACTACCGATAAGAAGCGGATTCGTGAGGAACTTATCAACATCCTGCTTGCCGGACGTGACACGACTGCTAGTCTGCTCAGCAACATGTTCTTCCAAATTGCGAAGAGGCCTGATATTTATGCCAAGTTGAGGGAAGAGGTTGCGGCACTGGGAGGTCGCACACCGACGTACGAGGAGCTGAGGAACCTCAAATACGTCAAGTGGTGTCTCAACGAATGTGAGTTTGCATACTGAGATTGATATATCATTATACTAATTCTGTCCAGCGCTCCGCCTCCACCCAGTCGTCCCCGGTAACTCTCGCCTTGCCATCCGCGACTCCGTCCTGCCCCGAGGAGGTGGCCCAGACGGCCAAGCACCTCTGTTCGTACCAAAGGGAACGACCGTCGGCTACTCACCATACACCATGCACCGCCGCCACGACCTATACGGCCCAGACGCAGACGAGTACAAGCCTGAAAGGTGGGAGACACTCCGTCCAGGCTGGGAATACTTGCCCTTCAACGGCGGCCCACGCATCTGTCTCGGTCAGCAATACGCGCTTACCGAGGCGAGCTACGTGACTGTGCGTATGGTGCAGGAGTTCAAGACCATGGAGAGCCGAGACCCGGGCCCATGGCGAGAGGGTCTCACACTGACTCTGGCCTCAATGAACGGTACACAGGTTGGCCTTACGCCTGCCTAGAAGGAGCGTAGTCAGCGATTGAGACACAGCTGTTTCGAGAGGTGTCAGACTGGGGAGGGCGGTGGAAAAATTCAGCACGATGAGTTGTGTTTGCTTGCGGAATCACTGGGAGTCTCACTCGTCATGCCACCTACTTGGCCAGGAGAGGGGCCTAACAGGAGAAGGCGGCTATCATTGTTCTAGGGAGTTCTGTCCATATGGGGGCCTTTCAGAGGCATTGCATTCTGATCTTCACTGTACTATACCTACTACCATGAAATTCTATGAACTCTAAGGAAGCTGGCAGAGAGGGTGACTTGCTACTAGGCGTCCTCCCGAAGCACTAAGACATGCTCGTGCATTCGGTTAATTCACAATGTTTCGAACGTCTCACTTTGGTGCTTACATACAAAATAACAGTACTCTCTTCGCCAGTGGCAATCAAACCTACAACATTATTGCAACTGTAGTGACCCCAAATCGAGACTAGTGCCGGAAGTCCGCAACTGTGACCCTAGACACACAAGTGTTGATCAACAACAGCGCAACACGCCACGACGCACGCACCGAACCGAACCTTCCACTTGTCCCCGTAATTTCGTTGGCAAACATCATGTCGCGAAGTCACCGCCCCTCGACGACGCCCATGGACTTTGAGTGGACGAACCAAACAGGCCCCATCGACGCTCAATCGCCCTTCCTCGCTGCCAGCCAACAAAAGAAGCGTGAGTCCCCAGGCCCCTCTTTCCCTTTCGGACGAGACACACATGGGGAAACACAACCGCTGACTTCAGGGCCTTCTTTCGGCCAGTCAGGCCCTCACTCCGTCCTAGACTCTCCCTCCAAAAACGGTTTCGCGACACCGAATCGGCTGCGCGACCCCGACAACCGCATGACATACTTCAGCCGCGATCCCAGCAAGCCGCTACCGTCCACACCCGCATCCTCGGTGCCCGCACACATCCAACCCAGCCCGTGGTCTATGCGAACGCCCTCACACGACCTCGACTTCAGCTCAGGCGGGGAAACACCTGGCACACCACAGTTAGACAGCGACCCTGGCACACCAGACACGCAATTGGCGAGCAAGATGGGGCGGCTAGGCAACGGCGATGCAAAGGGCGGGCGGCGAGACAGCTGGTTCAAGCGGACCTTCATGTCCACGCCGAGCCCCACCAAGGAGCGGGACAGAGAGCGGGACAAGGACGTGTCGCAAAAGTACTACTCCAAGAAAGCCGAGAACCGCATAGTCAAGCGCCGGTCAGAGCGCTCACGGTCCAAGAAGCGCGCCACGGTCCACGACGACGACGGCGAAGATTCCGACAACGATCAGAGACGACCTCAAGTCCCTCCCAAAGAGGCGGGGCCCGTCCAGCAGACTCTCGCCATGAGCGTAGGCGGCTTCCTCTCGTGGGTCGAAGCGCACCCCAACCTCCCCTCCGTCCTATCCTACTACCTCCAACTCACCGTCAACATGTTCCTCGGCAGCCTCTTCATCTACATCGTCTACTCCGCCTGGGCGGGCGTCATGACAGACGTCGACATCGAGTCCTCCAAACACGCATCCGAAGTCATGGTCGAAATCGCCGGATGCGCCATTGAATACAACCGGAATCGCTGTCGGCCGGAGGAAGTCGTGCCGGCGATGGAGCGGGCATGTGGTGTCTGGGAGACGTGCATGAACCGCGATCCGAAGAAGGTTGCAAGAGCGACGGTGACGGCGAAGACGTTTGCTATGATCTTTAACTCTTTTGTTGAGGAGTTTAGTTATAAGTCTATGGTATGTTGCATTCTTCTCGGTATGCCGGCGGTCGCTGTGTATGGAGCTGTCCACGAACGGCGCGAGCACATTGATTCTGCGCATACGCGTTCGCACAACCACTACACCCAGTCCTGTAATTGCTTTCAGCGCAGCAGACCCCAACTCTACAACCCCCAACATACCCATCACCACCAACCCCCAAATATATATCCCAACACAAACTAACACCCCCTTTCAGATCTTCACAGCCATAATAATCTTCGGCGGCTTCAACCTCTCAAACTGGGCTTTCGGCCTCCTCCGCTCCCAGCAACAACAATCCCACCACACACAACCCCACCAACAGCCAAACGAATTCATCCCACAAACACCGCACAGAGTAATCAGCAACGGATACAACGATAGCTATAACCAGCAAAGCTACCAGCAGAATTGGCAGCAATTACCGGCGTATCAACAGCAGGGAACGCCATATCAGAGTCACAATACGCCGTATCAGGGTCAGAGACATATTGAGGCGCCGCCGCTGGTACATGCGCATACTATGCCTGCGTTGGGGACTTCGAGTTCGGCGCAGGAAGCGGTGGCGACGGCGGATGGGGGGAGGACGCCGAGGAAACGGGGGTTGTTTCGATAAAACAACACTCTTTACTATCATGATACTTTCATTGTGTCTTTTTTTCTTTTCTTTTGGTGATTGATTTGGATAAGCGCATTCTTTCGATTTGTATTCATGTTCTTAGGGTTGTTGTAGGGTAAGGCTTTGGGGCTCGCAAAAGGTAGCATAGGTTGGCGAACTGGTGGAACAAAGGTCAACTCATGAATATTCACACTTTTTCTACTCCTGTCATATATGGTTTGTACACGTCTTTCTTGAACGAATGAATTACTAAGTTTTATCATAAGAAGAGCATCGAAGCCTCCAACCTGGATATCAAATGGCCAATCATCTACTTGTTGAACCGCCAAACGCCTCAATCACGGAATCTCGTATCTATCTGTCTATGCATACAATGCCGACTTGCTTTTACGCAGCAGCCTCGGTCTTGGTCTCCTCCTTGCCGCTCTCCTCGTACTTCTCCCAGTTGGCCAGGATGTTGCCGATCTTGGGTGAGTTGGTGAGCTTGTACACGTCCTCGAAGTACTCCTTGGTCAACGCGAATGGCTTCGCAGTTACGTTGGGGATGTACTTTCCGACTAGCTTGCTGGGGTCGATGGAGGTCTTGTGGATCTTCTTAAGAAGGAAAGACCTGAAGGGCTTGACGCCGGATCGCAAGAAGGTCGAGTGGAAGGGCACGTCAATACCCTTGAGCGGGATGGTAGCGAAGCCACGCTGGAGGTCGAGCGGCTTGGGCTTGGCCTCTGTCTGCTCGGCGCAACCCTTGATGATTTCGACCAGGTGGTTCTTAACTTCCTCGAGCGACAGAGTCTGCATGAGCGCTTGAATGTCGATCTTTTGTTGCTTGAGGTAGTTTGTCACGCCAGTAAGGCAGTCGAGAGCGCGGAGGTCACCGGCAGCAACGTACTGCATGTTGGCGATGTTGTAGTTGACAATCTCCAAAAGCCATCCGGTTGTCTCGGCAATATTCTCGACAACGTATTGGAGAGCTTGCTCGTTGAAGGTCTTGGAGATCCTGCTGGGGTTGACAGCGCACATGGAGTAGTTGGAGCGACCGGTCTCGTCACGCTCGACCGCGACTTGCATGGTAAGACCACGGTAGAACACGACTGAGACTAAACTCTCGATAGGCATGACCTCAGCCATGGCCGCAAGAGCGGAGTATTCACCGAGAGAGTGCCCAGCGAATGTACTCTCGACCTGGATCAGACCCTTGGCGCGCATGTCCTCGAACGATGCCTTCTCCATGAGTGTCAGAGCAGGCTGTGTGAATTGAGTCGCTGACAACAGACCAGTCGGCGACCGGTAGGTGTACGATGTGGTGTTCTCGTCAATCTCCTTGAAGATCTTCTCAGACTTGATGGAGCCGTCCGCAGCAACAGTCTCGAATGTCATGGACATGTAGTTCTGGCGGATAGCCTTGCCCACTGGGCCACCGAAGTGAATGGTGAGCTCCTTAGGGTTGTTCTTCACGATGTTAGTGATAGCGAAGCCTGTCATGAATTAGCCACAGTATAATGCAGGTGAGTAGGAAAGTCTTACCGTAGTTGTCCATGAAGTGCTTGTCGGCGCGGTCCCAGACTTCCTTGGCGACGGGGCTGCTATTGTAAAGCTCCATACCCATACCCTGTTCTTGCGATCCCTGTCCAGTGAAGACGTATGAGGTAGTGGGTTGCTCAACCTCAGCCTCGCCGAGGAGGACCTTGTCTTCGGTCTCCTGGTTGCTGACTTCAATCTTGATGATCTTACGACCAGACACCATACCGACGTGCTGGAGCTTGACATCGAGCATGTCGTCGGGAAGCACCATGCCCACGAGGTTGACGTGGTAGCTCCTAACACGACCGACATTGTTCTCGGCGGCCCAGGTCTCTACCAAGCTTCGGACAGCTGCGCTGGAATACATGCCGTGAGTGATCGTACCAGGTAGGTTGGCGTAGCTAGCAAAGACACGTGAGACGTGAATGGGGTTGTAGTCGCCAGAGACGCGAGCGTAGTTCTCGTTGGAAGCAGGTGCCTTGAGCTGAAGCGGTGCCTTGCCGTGAAGCGGGATAGCGTTGTCGAACAGTACTGGCTGATCAACCGCAGCTCCATTGCGCTCCAAATAGTCAAGGACGGGGTTGCCGTATGCGGTGCCCGAGCTGTATTGCACGGAAGCGATTTGGATCACCTCCTTAGTCGGGAGTTCGAGCAAGACCTCTCCTTGAGTCTCGATGTCAGAGAAGACTGTCTTGTTCTTGTATCGCACGACAGTCTCGAGCTTAAAGAGCAAGGTTTTGTTCAGCAGGTCGATCTCAGGCTCCTCAAAGTTGAACCACTCCTTTGATCGCAGGATGGCTACGTCCTTGCTGGTAGCCAAGTTGAGCTGAATGGGCTTCTCGACCTTCCTCTGGAACGTGTTCTGGAAATCATCGTATGCGCCGCGGTAGAGGAATTGACTAGTGACTTCCATCACTGGCTTACCATCGCGGGTGATGGTGCCACAGACCTCTACCATCTTACCAGAGTCCTGGTTGATAACAGCATTGATCTGTGCAGTGGTGTCAAGAACATCGCCCTTCTTCAAGGGCTCAGCGCCAGAGATCATGCGGAACCCGTTGGAAAGATGAACCAACTTGAGAAGGTCACCATCGATTGCGCGAGGGAAGATAGGCTTGGTGATGGCCTTCCAGCCGACAACGATGGCGAAGTCCATGGGGGCGTAAACTTCCTTGCCAGGTCGGTCAACAAAGGCCTCACCCTTGTTTCCGACTGCATGGACGAAGTCGTTGATGGCCTCACTTGTTACAGTGGCGCGGCCACCATCGAAGCGTGAAGTGACGGACGCATCGAATGGGCATGCCTCATCTCCAAACCAGATCTTGTAGTAAAAGTCCTTGATGCGGTCGTTTCGGGCATCCATGACCTCATGAATAGGCGCGTAGCCTACGTCAGGACGGTAGGTGAAGCGGAAAGGCAATGCGACTGCGTGTCCAATGGCGGTACGCTCCTCGTAGATGTTGAGCAGGATCTCACTGTCTTTGGTGAGGCTGACTTCGACGGTCTTGATTAGCTTGCCGCCGTGGTGCAGCTCCTTGACGATGATGGCAGTCTTGGCAGGCTCGTTGGGGTTCTGAATTTCGACAACCATGCCGGGTGTGGGAGCAAAGACCCTGGAAGTAGGGTTGGTCTGGAAACGCTGACCCTGCACAAAGATGTCCGCAGTGAAGAAAGCATGTCTCCATGAATAGCTGGAGCCTGCCAGGAGTTGCAGCCATGAGTGTACTTCTGGCATTGTGGCGTTGGGAGCAGCGGAGAGGCGGTAGATGACCTTGTTCTCAAGCTCTGAGACGGTAAGACCATCGACCTCTAGACCCTGGGGTGGCGCTAGCAGGTTGCTACCGAAGTACTCAATGACGGGAACCTTGGACTCGTCATCGCCGTAGATGTCGTGCATAAGGAGCTTGATGTGACCCTCGTGGACACCATCCAGGATCTCCTTGATGGGCTCGTCAACCTTGGTGGAGTACTTGACAGCCATGGGTCCTTGAAGGATACATGTCCTGCCAACGTCTTGGTCAACGACAGCATCGAGATCCTCGGATTGCCAGAGTGAATCCTTCTTGAAGAAAAATTCAAAGGTCTCGTCAAGGACGGGAACGAACGGTACAGGCTTCTGTCCACGACGTTGGCAGAGCAACAGGAAGTGTTGCACATCTTGGGCGCTGATGAGCTGGTTGTCGGCATCGGGGTAAGCCTTGAAGACCTTCTCAAGCATTGGGAAGGGGTCGTTGAGCTCATCGTAGTTTTGGATGAGTGACTCGCTGCTAGCTTTGCTGAAACGCTCTTCCAATCGGCGGATGAAGTCGCCAGTCAAGCGCTTCAAACTCTGGTCGATCCAGCGGGATTGGTGCTTGACGTACATGAGGTCTACCATACGTTGGACAACCTCAGTGTAGGTCATGTCTTCCAAGTCAACTGACTCTCCCTTCTTGTTCTTGCCGAACCAGACCTTTTGGAAGTCCTTGTTCAGCTTCTCGATGATGTACTCGCGCATCTTCTTCAGTTCGGGGACACGCTTGGCCTTGTCGAGACTGAAGATCTTCTGGTCCATCTCATGCCAGAAGATGACACCACGAGTGGCAAGCTTGTGGATTGGCTCACCCATCTCAGAGCGAACAGTGATGACACCTCCAGCTGGGCCCTTGTAGGTCTTCTCCCAGTCCTCGTCGTCAAGACCAGGGGCGTCAACGATAGCTTGTTTGGCCATCTTCGATGTGTAGCATTCCTTCGCCGTCATTACGCGACTGCCGAACAAGCAACCGTCATATGGCATGGGTGGGTATCCAAATTTGGTAGACCATTGACCGGTGAGGTATGGGTATGTGTCTTCGGCGCCACCGAAACCGGAACCTGCGACGAGAATCAGGTTCTCACACTTGCGCAGACGGCTGTACATCTGCAGAATGGGCTGATGGAAGTCCTCGAAGGAATGATGACCTCCACCACGACCACCAGTCCATTGCATCAAGACCGGGAAGGTAGGGTTCGCCTTCGCAATGTTAATGGTCTGCTGAATAGCCTCGACGGAACCAGGCTTGAAGGCAATGTGCTTGATGCCAAGGGTCTCGATGTATTCGTTGGCTACTTCAATGGATGGAACACCAGCACCGATGGTAAGACCTTCGATGGGAACACCTTCGGCCCTGAGCTTGGCCAAGAGGGGGATCTGCCAGGCCATAGCGCGAGGGTTAACGTAGATGAGGTTGACGCTGATACCACGACCAGCAGGAATCGCCTTCTCGAC